GCATTTTCATTAAAATGTGATACATTCTTCAAGGCTCACCTACTCTCTGCTGGGAAATCTCAGAGCCCATGAAGTCGGAGTAAGTGCACCTTCCTCTAAGTTCTTAGAGCACTTTGGCTTTATTATAAGCCTTATTGCTTTCTTGCTTTAGAGTGTCATTGTTAATGAACATATCTGATTTTTTTCTTACAGATTATAAGCTTGGGGAAAAAGGATAACACATACACACATACGCAAACACACTCAAAGCCTCACACTGACTGTAGTAGGTAGTTTTCCCTCTGTCTCCTCTGTTGTCTATTATCTCTAGCATAGAAAAGGTACTTGATAAATACAGGCCCTACCCCATTCTTCACAAAACTGTCTAAGTCTTGGAACAGCCAGGGAGATGGCTCAGTGGAATAAGTGCTTCCCAGGCATGCACAAGGGCCTGAGTTCAATCCCCGGTTCCACAAAAAAAAAAAAAAAAAAAAAAAAAAAAAAGTCTTGGAACAAGTGTAAGCATGTTATTTTTCCCAACATTTGAGGGCATTTGTTTTTTTTTATAAAATTTGTTTATTTTTGTTTTAAAGAGATAAAACAGGAAAAACAATAATACAAAATTTCAAAGCAAGATGGTAGGAGTCTAACAATGGTTAGTACGATGCTTATTTTTTATTTCATCAAGGAGAAAGAGGGTGGGGAGATAGCTCAGTAGAATACGTGCTTGCCTGACAAGGGCAGGGTCCTGAGTTCAATCCCTGATACCGGAAAAAAAAAAAAGAAAGAAAGAAAGAAAGAAAGAAAGAAAGAAAGAAAGAAAGAAAGAAAGAAAGAAAGAAAACAGATAAATATAACAATGAAGCCAAGCTTCAAAACAGGTTAGTAGGGCAGTTACTATAGTTGATACATTGTGTATTGCTGTCTTTGTAGTAGTTATATAGAGTGCAAGATATAGGTATAATACATCCATATGATATTAAAAGTTTCTTTTCAGTGAGCTAAGAGAAATTGGCTGTATGATTGTAACTGTCTTGCATATATATATATATTTTTTTCTTTTTCCTTTCTTCTATTTGCCTTTCCTCCATCACAGTTTGTCTTTTCAGCAGCTTTTTCCCTATTCATTATATATATTATACATTTTGTATCTTTAGTTGCTCAGATTATACGATATGGACATGAAAAATTGATCAAATCATATAAACACAAAGTGAACTAGTAGAGATTGGTAGTATGGTTATCTTAATGCATATATAAGCATATAACTATATATATTTACATTTCCTTTTCCCTTCCTTCTTTTCTCCTTCCCCCATCCCAGTTACTCTTTTCTTTTGAACAGATTCTTCCTATTTCCCAATATCTATTGTGCATTTTGTATTTTATTTACTCTTTCAGCTTCTTACACCAGGGAGACAATACGATATTTGCACATAGGAGCTTGTCATTTATGAGTATGGTCTCTAGTTGCAATAAAATTTCAAATCTATTCTTCTTTTTTTGTTTTAGTATCTTTTAATCAGTGCATATCCTTCTTTATATCTGAGTAGCACTCCATTGTGTAAAATGCCATTTTTTAAAAAAATCTAATCCTTCGTTGATGAGCATTTGGGTTGTTTCAAAGATTGAACTATTACAAATTGAGCTGCTATAAACATGAGTACATATATATAGCCTTGGTATGATGTTTTCGATTCTTCTAGGAAGATACTCAGAAGGGGACTGGCTGAGTAGAATGGGACCACTAATCCCAGTTTTTTGGGGAGCCTCCACACTGATTTCTATGGTGATTACACAGTTCTACACTCCCACCAATAGAGGAGAAAGGTTCCTTCTTCCCTGACAGCTCTGCCATAATTTGTTATTGATTTATTTCTTGATGATAGTTATTCTTTCTGGGGTGAGATGGAATCTCAGCATTATTTTAAATTGCATTTCTAGAATGACCAGTGATGTGGAACATTCCTTCGTGTATTGATTTGCTATTTGCATTTCTTCATCTGAGAAGTTTATACTCATCTCAGATGCCATTTTTAGATTGGGTCTTTACATTTGGGGGGTCTGACTTTTTTGATTCTTTATATGTTCTAGATAGGAGTCCTCTGAGGGACTGTTGGCAATTTTTTTTCTTTGCAATCTGTGCATTGTCTTTTCACTCTGTTTGTGGCTTTTTTTTTTCAGGGTGCAACAGCTTTTTAAGAAGAGATTCTTTTTGAGTCTTTGGAGCATTTCCCATGCAATTTGAGTTTTGTTCATGAAGTCTTTGCTTAGGTTTTAAGATTTCTACCTACTTTGTCATAGGCAGTACAATCATATACATGATTCATGTTTCTGTTTTAATATTTAGATCTTTGATCTGTTTTGACTTTAGTTTAGTGCATGGTGATAGACATGGGCATAGTTTTAGTTTTCAGTACATGGAAAGCCAGTTTTTTCCAGCACCATGTGTTAAGGACACTATCTTTTTTCCAGTGAATGTGTTTGGTCCCTCTGTTAAAGATAAGATGGCTGAGTATATTTGTAGTTGTGTCTACATTTTCTAATCTGTTCCACTGATCCTCAGGTCTGTTTTTTGCCAATACCATGCTGATTTTATCACAGTAGCTTCGTACAATAATTTTAAGTCAGGGAGGTTGATGTCTCCTGTCTCCTTTATTGCCCAAAATTGCTCTTGGTATTTTGGGTCTCTTCTAGTTTCAAATGAATTTTAGGAATGCTTTCTCTAGTTTTGTGAGGCATGCCAAAGGCATATTGATTGGGGTACTTTTAACAAATTTTGTTAAATTTGTACAAAAATTTTGGAAGCATGGCCATTTTTGTTATGTTGGTTCCTCCTGGGATTTTCTATTAAATTTCCATGTAGACCCCTTGGCCTGGGCTGTGAGAATTAGGTTTTCACCCATTTATCTCAGGCACATGAACTTGAATGTCATTACATCTGCAGGGTACTGTGAAGGCCCCCAAAACAAGGCAGCACAATCATATACGAGAAACCTCTATCATAAATGAGTTGGACAGGATAAGCCAACTTGAAAGAGAAAATAAAATATTATAACCCCAACTTGAAAAGAAAATATGGTGTGTGGTTTATGGCTGTGGATTATGGAGGAAGAAAGAACTGATTTTAAGTCACACACAGAAAAGCAGTGACACTCTTTAAATTCAATACAGTATTCACATGGCAGACACTGGACTTCAGAAAGCCAAACCTTCAGGCTCCTGCTCTGGTCTATAAAACAGATGTAAAATTGCTTTTGGTAAATTATTAGTGGTACATTATTAGTGTGCCATTCTAGAGTCAAGGAATGTTTAGAGAGAAAAATAACCTTGATGCCAATGTGGTTCTTTAAAGTCAGCGTCTGCTTGTCAAAGTCTCACATTGCATTTTAAAGACCTTTAAAGGCTGTGGTTTTGGGAAATTCCACTCTGACAGAAAGAGATTGAAGAGGGACTGAGAAAAATCTGAAGCACAGAGAACAACTTTAGTTGTCTTGCTGGCATGTTCTACAGCTATCAAAAATATGAAGATAGTCTTAAATAATGAGATTTCCTTTTTTCTCTAATTATCTTTCATTGAGAGTGCTTGTCTTTCCTGAGCTTTCTAGCTTCCACTCTTGCGTTTCTATTGCTTGAATATAGTTACTCATTATCATGTAGTTCCAAAACAAAGTTACTGAAATGTCTCCCATAACCAACCCTGTAAACAGAGACCCTAGGGTGGGTATGGAATATTCCAGTCCAGACGCATGAGGGTAATATACACAACCGTGTCAGGGTTTCAGGGACTAAGATAGGATGCTGTGCGGGTGGGGGGTGGGGGGGACTGGTGCACTATGGGAAAGACACTAAACCAGATGCTTTAAGGACCTGTTCTGCCTGGGTGGTAAAAGTGGATTCAACAGACCTGGTTACCCTGAGAAGCTACCTCTTAGTTTATTCTAATTTGTTTGGACACTGGATGAGATTTGGTATATCCTGGCCTATCCTACCTGTGTAGATACTTTTCTTTGGTAAAAGCCTGGAAGATCTTTAGCCACTTTTTATGTTTTTAACACAAACACTTCAGGTTATTAAATGAACAAATCCTGATGGCAAAAAGGCACAATGTAAGTGAAATTAAAAAAAAAAAATGCATTCTGCTGATCTATGGAAAGGAGCTATTAATATTTAAATTTTTTGCCTTTTTTTTATCTGTTTACATTTTTTCTCTTCTTAATTTTTTATATCATTTTTCTCTTTTTTTCTTTCTTTTTCCAACTTTGCCAGCATATATCTGGTCATCTGAACAACTAATCTGATGACAACATTATGCAGTACAACAAATAGTGTCAAATTCATATTATTTTGTGCAGTGAAATTCCGTATCATTTGCATTTTTTCTCTTTTAATACTATTTTGTATTTTTTTAAAGAAAAAAATGCAGTCAAGTTTTGGATGTGTCAGGCTGAGGCAGACTGGATGGTATCTAGTTCCATCTGACTGAGCCAGTTTTCCATTTTAGTGTCTACGTAGGCAAATAATTTACTATGGGAAGGTGAGAGGAAGAGAGTTCACAGTTGCTTATGGGAGTGGCCCTTGTTGTTGTTTTTTAAATTTATGTATTTGGTACAGGATCTCACTATGCAGGTCGGACTCATCGTGATCCTCCTGTCTCAGCCTCCCCTGCACTGGGATCACAGATGTGCGCTACCATGCCCGGTCTCAGTGGCCAGCTGGGTGGGCCCAGGCCAGCACGACATGCTGTACTGAGGATCGAAAATAGACCCTTGTGTTTGTCAGGCAGGCACTTAGACTGCTGAGCTACCTCTGTGGCCCTGGACCTTGATTTTGAAAGAAGCCACACATATGTGTGCCAGGCCTAAGTCCTGCATCGAGCTTCAATTTAAATCTCAACCAAAAGGAAACCAAATAAAAACAACAGCTGTTATTAATGGGGTGATTTTGTGAATTTTGTAGGAGCAGCACAAATAGCAATCTACTTATCTAAGAGCAATTCACATTTATTTCTTTGTTTCCAGATCACCAGATTAAAAATCGACAGAAACCCTTTCGCTAAAGGATTCAGAGATTCTGGGAGAAACAGGTAAGGATGACTGGGGAAGGGAAGCACTGACCTCATCTTCTATATGATGTTACCCTTTCCACACCCCACTGGTGGTTTTGGGTCCTGATTTTCTGATAAAACTTGCATGCTCTGCTACTCTCCTGATTCAGGCAAGGAGAAACAGACTTCTGCTCCAAGAATCACCAAGCTCCCCTCCTAAAAGTTCCCCTTCCAAATTATTCGTGAACACAATCTGAATCACCACGTAAGCTCCCTCCTGACCCCCTGCTCATATTACTAGCTGATTCAGCCACTACAAACAAATTATATGTTAATTCATTGCTGTCAAACACTGTTATTTGTTTCAGATAAATATTTACAGGTGGCTAGCGGGCCTGCAGTGATATCTCTTCTATTTTGTGATACTGGGAAGAAGAAAGTTGTGGGCAAACACACATTTTCAAAAAATCTTTACTTTTGTGAGATAAAATGGATCAGTAATATTAATCATTTTACTCCCAGGAAATAGTTCCAAATGTGTGCATGTGTCCTTAGTTCAGTAGGGAGAGTTTTAGACCATGTTTCTTCGTGATCCACCACCACCAGCTGGACAAGGTTGTTACCCAGGGGAATATTTACAAATGATTGATATTTGTAGGATCATTTGTTCCTGCTGTCAGTAGCCTTTGAGGGTGTGCTGCTTTTCTGCTTGATGCCTCTTTCTTCTCACTAAATTCTTCCCACCGTGTCTTTAATTTGTTATCTCTGGAGAATTATGGGAGAACTGAAATGTCCAGGGAAGGCAGATGCATTGAAGGTTATCATTCAATCAGAGTGCTTTGTCTTACGCAGGCAATGCCAAGTTAGCAAGTGTGACACATATGTCTCATGGTGCCCAGGCTTTGCAACAAGTCTTTACTCTAATGGCCAGATAGCTTTCATAATTTGCAGGCATTCCTTCACATCTGGGTGACAGATTGTTAGGAGTTACCTTTAGTATTCTCTCAGCCAGAATTTCTTTTTCTTATTAATTTTGTTGAGAAAAAAATAGCAATGAGACAGTTTCAAAACCGATTAGTAGGACAGTTTCAATAATTAATGCATTGCATATTGTTGTCTTTGTAGTGGTTATTCATAGTACAAGATGCAGACATGATATCCTATCCAAACACTATTAGTACAAATCTTTCTGTATATACAGATACAAAATGGTCCTTCATTGTATCTCCTTTTTTTTTTTTTTTTTTTTTTTTTTTTGCGGAACTGGGGATTGAACTCAGGCCCTTGCGCTTGCCAGGGAAGCGCTTTATTCCACTGAGCCATCTCCCCAGCCCTGTATCTCCTTTTTTTAACAGATGAATATTTCATTGCCATTTAAATATTGTGGGTATGTGAATTCAGCCAAATAATCCAATATAATCCAATGGTCCATAATAGTAGTAGGTTATCCATGGGACTGGCAATGTTAGAAGTTGTAGACTTGAGCCTTTTACAGCTCAGCATATTAATATGGCTTTACTTTTTATACCTTGTTTTTATACTTTTCTGCTGGATGGTTAATACCAAGATAAAGCAAGACCTATATAACAAGAAATGTAATTTTTGTATCTGACAAGGTCAGATCAGTCAAATTCCCTCAGGATTTACCCTGAAACCTTGTGCCGCAGTTTGTAGATCCTTTGTCAGTGTCAGCCATGTGGATGAGTCACGGCCATTGCTTGACCAATTTGCTCTCTGTGAAAGCCTGAGAGAATGTTTTCTTTCCATGTGAATCTCCTTATTAGCCAGAATTTCTGCATAGACCAGAACCTAGAAGTACTTTGTGAAGGACGTTGTGGCCTAGGCAGTTGTGAGCTGCACTGTGGGGTGATGATGGGGGACAGACTGCAGGGGTGACAGTGTGTACCACACAGCACGGGTGTGTAGTGGGTCCTACCAGTTCATCTGGGTAAGGACGCTCTATAATAACAGTAAGTAAATTGCTCAGTAAAGCATTTCTGAGAACATGCCCTTGCCAATAAATGGCACATGGATACATTATAACACAGACTTATGTTAAAAATTAGTCATGCATTACAAAGTGATTAATAAAAGCAATACATGCAAAATATGTTCAACTATCTGTAAAATTTATTTGCCTTAGAATTCTGAAAGTTTTACTTATCCAGTCAAGTAAAATTTACTTAAGCTTCCAGTTTTCAGATAATAACACTGGTCAAGTTGGTTAGTAGGATGCCACACCAGAACTCAAGCATGCATATCCTAACCAATGATTTTCTGTCCCATGAATGTTTGTAAAATAAGAAAAAGCTCTTTCTTTTCCTTAATTTTTTTTAAAGTACGGGGTCTTGAACCTAAATCCTGTGTGTGCTGGGCAAGTGCTCTACCATTTAACTGTGTCCATAGACTTTTAAAATTTTTGAGACAGGGACTTGCTGAGTTGCTGAGGTTGACCTTGAACCTGGTGATCCTCTTATCTCAGCTTCCCAAATAGCCAGAACAATAGGCATATACCTCCACACTCAGCTAGGTCTTCATTTGCAATAAATAGTTAGCCAATAAAGAATGAATAACTATTCCCTCCATTTTGTATGGGCTCTTCTCTTCCTCCTCATTAGGTTAGATTCAGTGTCCAGGTCACAAAGAGATGATAACACCATTTGGCTTATTTTCACAGTTCTAAGCTCTGAGCTTACTGAGGATGTTTCTAGTAACAAAAGGTAGAGGGTCTTTCATAAAGAAACCTTTTCACCTGCCTAATGGTGATTCTTTGGAGCAAGATATTCATGATTTTGGGGATTCTAGGAACTCCAAGATATAACTAAAATTATGTATGGATGAGCAGGTACATGTTTTTTTTTCTGGGAAGAAATCTATAGCTTCCTTCATGTTTTCCAAAAGGTCCATCTCGAAATCAAGAGTGCCTGCTCTATAAACTCAATCACCTGAAGCCAGGTGGCTTGGTTCATCATCTGATGCTTTCTTATTAACAGGTACTTTGCTCTTAGAAAATGCCATCTCATACTTTCATCATTTCTTGTCCATGTGGCATAGGTCCCATAGGACTCTCTGTCTCTGTTTCTGTCTATCTCTCTTTATCTATCTATGCATAAACTTGATAAGTACTAAGAAAAAAACAAACAGGCTAGGTGGTAGAGTGAGAGCAGGAGCCACTTCTACAAGGTGGACAGGGTTGTGCTCTCTGACAAGACACTATAAATGACATAAAGAAAGTTTCCAGCTGTGTGCCTAATTGCAGGGGTGGGGAACAGCAAGAAAAAAGAGACAGACAGGGGCTACGTGTGTTTGTAGAACACAACGCAGACCTTGTGGCTGAAAGCCATGGTCGTTGCTCTGGGATGTGTCTAACCAAGTAGCTGCACAGATATACACTGACTAGGAAGTTATGTGCCACCCTAGCTGAGGTGCTGAGGCCCTTCTGTCTCTCCACTGAGCTAAAAGAGACTTGACACTTTATTTGGTTCTGGAGGCTGATCAGCATCTTACTGCTCAGGGAAGATAGTCATTGTCTATCCTGCCAGGTAGGCTCTTCTCTGTAAGGACTCTAGGATAATTTTCTTTTTTACCCCATAATTTTATTGAGAAACAAATAGCAATGGGAGAGTTTCAAATAAAATTGGTAGGACAGTTTCAATAATTTACACATTGCATATTCTCTTCCTAGTGGTTATTTGCTGTACAAGATGCAGACATGATATCCTATTTACAAACACTTTTAGAACAAATCCCTCTATTCATTAAGAGAATGTAACTATATATCTAAGGATGCATCCTCTTTAACACACTTAAATAATATTGCATTTATTTTTTTCTGAGAGCGTGGACATCCTTTATTATGTCTCATGACAACCTGTGGGCTACGTACAAAATGAACTCTTACTCTGTAGCAATATGGATGATGGAACTGGAGGACAAATTGTTAACTGAAGTAAGCCAGATATAAAAACTACTGCACATTCTCACTCATATGGAAGCAAAAAACTGATTCTGTGGAAGCAGTGATTAGAATAAAGGTCATTAGAGGTCTGGAAAGATAGTGGAGAAGGGGTAGGAGAAGGCCGGATTATAGAGGCCAGAATACAGTCACAGAAGAGGACTAAGTTTTAATGTTAGACAGTCTGTAGGGTGACTGTAGTTCACAACAATTTGTCATATATTTCACAAGGAGCTAGAAGAAAGGAATTCAAAGCTCAGTTCAAAAAAATAATACCTGTTCAAGGAGATGAAAATGCTAATTAGCTTGATGTGATTATTATACACTGTATATCAAGTTATGACACTATACCACATATTTTTAATACCACCTACTTATATATAATATTGTAGCAATTAAAAATGAAAAAAACTCTGTAGACTACTTTAAATACCGTTAGTAATTCTATCAGCTAATTCTAAGTGAATACTAACCTTTCCTCTGGACTCTTCACCTGTGTTCTCTCTAATTTTCAAAATACCCCATGGTTTGCCAGTGAGGAAACTGAGGCACAGAGAAGGTCAGCATTTTTCCTGCTGTCTCACAACATTGGCCCATACGTTACACCTGAGTCTGCCTGACTTTAAACCTGGAGCTCTATCTTGCTAGCAATTTACACTTGACATGTTGTTTTCAGCAGGTGTTGAGAACACAGTCCTTCCTCTACAGGCTTTTCATCTACTTATAAATCTCGACATAAGCCACCCACAACTGCTTCTTCTCCACATAATAACCTGCATCTTTGTAGTGTGTTGTGGACAACTCCCTGTGACTTCACCATCTACCTTGTAACCCCTACAAATAAGGGTTCCCCAGTAGAAATCAGAGAGCCATGCTGAGCTTCTCTAGCAGGTGAAGTGAAGCGATGACCCCCAAGCCACTTGTCTTGCAACAGGCGAGCACAACGGTTCAATGCAGGATCCCCTTTTCGCATCCAGCACAAGAAGCTCGATCAAAATAAACTTTGTTAGGGCAAATGGAAACCTTCTGGGTTCTGATGTTGTTGTTTTTCAATGGTCGAAATTACTTGATAATTACCAGCTAG